ATGGGAAGGCTGCATTTTGCAGTTACAAAAGACGAATCAATCATTACATTATTTATTTCAAAAGGTAATATAAGAAAATCTTAGAAGAATCACAAACCTAAGCATTTTTAAATGAAAGACAGTCATTTCTACTTTAAATCCTCAAGGTGCTCATTCACTATCCAATTTTTTTTTTAGTAAATCATAACATGAAGCCAAAGGTAAAAATGGATACAAGGAATTAATCATCACCTTTGATAACCAGCCAGGCATTAACAAGAACGCTAGTACCAGAGAAGCTGCCCTTGTTTCTGTTCTGTGAGCCAGGAAAAGCACAGAGCATCATGAAAGCAGTTATGTATAAAACTACATCTTTTTTTTTATTTTGCATAACTTTATTTTCAGAATAAAGTAGACAAAACAAAACAAAAAAGCCACATATAGTACACAATACCTAAACTGCTATTCTGTGGAAGCAGGTTTTTTCTGCCTAAGGAAAATCCAAGGACAGGGAGAAGAGATCCTCTAGACATTAGCAAAGAGCCAGGGTGGGTCAGGGTGGGCCAAGGCTGCTGGGGGAGCCACTGGGAAACGATGCACAGGGAATGGGTTTCCACTGAGAAGAGGGTCTCTAATCTGCTCCTATCACGGGAGAGGCAGCTTCCTCACCCTCGTCAGGGAGAGAACTAATGAGGAACAGCAGCAATTGTGTTTCTCTGCTGCTTCCTTACCTTCATCAATGCCTAAAAAACTAGGATATTAGAATCCTTGCCATCTATACCTCACAGGCCTCCTTACAGTTGAAGCACTGCGGTATATCAGGCGCTTCTCACAGGGGAAACCAGAGGAGACCAGAACCGTAGCAAACACGTCACCACCAGGTCCTTGACAGCTTTGTCGTTTTTGTCCAACTCTGCTTTCTGCTGCAGTGTCTGCAGTCTGGGCAGGACTGACATCTAGGTGCTTTGGGCCACTATGTAGGCCATTGCGAGCTCTCTTGAAGCGCCTAAGACGTCATGATCTGCTTCATGTTGGCTCTCCAGCCATAGATACTGGTCACAATGCAGCAGGGTGACAACAAAGCCTATTAGAGATTGTCACCTGTGGATAAACAAAAATATTTTTTGATACAGGGTTCCCTACAATATAGCCTTGGCTGTCCCAGAACTGCTAAGTAGACATGACCGTAAGTACTTTGGGTTTTTAAGAGTGGGAGATGACTAACCCCAGCTACTCGGGAGGCTGAGTTTCCAGGAAGGTCACTTGTATCCAGGGATTCAAGGATAGCCTATACAACACAGAAAGGCCTTTGCTTTCTATATACATCACATTGAATTATCATATATATTAACATGTGTGTGTGTGTATTACAAAAATTAAAAGAAGATTAAATGCCCACTTCATCAACAGAGTAAAAACAATCTGTCATGCCCTGCACAAACAGTAGTCTATTACTGCTGGGGCACAGGACCTGGATTTATGCTGCCTGAAGTCACTGAGTTCTCATACAGCACCAAAATGTTTCCAAGGGAGAAACTACAGCACAAACTTGCCTTTTTTGTATAAGACCTTCTTTATGAGATTGCAGAACTTCTCAAACACTGC